TTCAAAATAACATGCTATCTAGCGGTCAGTTTCCATTAGCATAGTTCCTATCGTTAATACACAACTTCCAGCACCCCTGAAAAATGGACAACGAGCACGGGGAGATTATAGTCAATAGAATGCTGCCTGAATGGCATATTGGTGCCATCTACAGGGCTGAGTGCAGAATACTCTTAGGCTTTCTCTATATATCTCAAGATAATTATTCTGAAAAATTATCTCTGGTTAATTATCTTGAGATATATTATATATGATCTTGAGATAATTATGACAATAAAATTAACCTAAGATATTTATTATTTAATAAAATTAACCTAAGATATTTATTTATTGAGACAGTAATCGTGAGGTGAAAAAAAAATCGAAGCTAAAAAAAAAAAACTCAAAAAAAAAAATCTCCATTTTTTTCTTCTCTCATAAAAAATAATCCACCATATCCTCTCACAGGCTCTGTAGAAAGCACAAAAAAGACCAAGAACAGGACTGTTTTGGATCACTAGGCTAAAAACGCCAAATGCTATGTGCTGTGATTTTACAGCGGAAACGTGTCAGTTAGGCAGAAACCGACAATTAAAAGGCTGCATATTTGTTGGGGTTGTTGCAAGAAAATATAGAAAAAAACAAATAATGGCTAAAGGTATTTAGTTTTATTCAGATCAACTTGCACACATCGTTATTATTTTCACATCATTATTATTACACATCGGCCATATTTTCTATACTGGCATTCCGTCATATGTATGTGTATGAGCAGTCAAAGCTGGCTGTGGCTTTCAGATCAAGATATCAAGAAAAAGTCAGTTCCATCAGAGGTGCTGATCCATACCAAATCAATAAGTTATCTTTGAGTCTCGTTTATGTGTTATTGTCCGCAATACCGTATCCAGACATCTGTAATTACCTTGTAATTACTTCATCAGTCTACACATCGCAGCAACTAAAAGCATACCAGTCACTAGAATCATGTAATTATTTGGTATGTGTCCGGGTCAGCCATATTCTGTCTTTACCATTAGCCACACCACCAAACATTATAGTCATCGCAAAAGTGAGCAGTAGCAATGTAGCTATGTTTGATGGGGTTAATCAGCATTACGTTAGTTTAAGTTACATGAGCCCAGATAATGTTTTGGCGTTAACTGCAGTCATTGTCTAGCTAAAGCATAAGAGATCTAGCTACATAATTCATCCTTCACTTAATTGTCTACCTGTGACAGAATGATGAAATCAGACTTTGATATGGGGAGGAAGTCGTTCCAGTTTATTCTCGCTATCCAAAGATTTCTCCTTCGCTCACTCAGCTCTTGAGCCTCTTTCCCCTCATGACGTTGGACAACCGGGATGCTATAAAAGCTTACACCTTTTTGTTTTTGTTGCTGTTATCACAGCCATGAATTACACAGCACACCATGGCTACATTTTATCTGTCAGGATGCTTTATTAACTAACAACATGCAAACAGTGGCTCTACAAGTGCCGCTGTCATCACCGCATTGACCGGTGGTATGTCAACAATATGGTGTTGTCAATCAAATACTGTCTACACTGGATATTTTTCCATTGAAAAAGTCAGTGCACACTGCCCTCACGTTTACATGGCAGTGAGTTTATAGATCTATTTCTAACATGTTATTGTCATGTTAAAAATAACGCACACATTAGTGCAACCAAATTTGGTAAAAGGATAGTCTGAAATTAACTAGTGTTAACTAAGAACTTAGTAAAGACATTACATAAGTATTGCAGTAAAGGTCTGTGTGGGACAGTTTTTTCCGTCCCATTCCCACCCGCTCCTGCAACCGAAATGCTTTGGACATTCACAAATAATTCACAAATACATTATCCTCTGCTGAAATAACATGGTAGTCATGGTCATCACGCTCACTGTGAAGTAACTTCACTATACACTGTTTATTCCCAGTAAGCACAAGCAAAAATTATTTTTGGTATTTTGCTGGTCTTGGCAGCTGTGGCCGTTAGACTGAAGGCACCTCCATCTCTGTAAGCTAAAAGAATTTGCATGTTGTTTACATGATCCATTGCTTTGCAACTCTTTAGAATGACTTCATTTATTTTAATGGTTTTACTGTTATCCTTTTATATTGTTTATATATATATGATTTAGTGATAATTCTTCTTTTTTAGGCTATTCGTTAATTTGTGGGATTTCTCTTCGTGCATGTTTCATCCGGCTCCTGCCTGCAGGGTTTTGGTTACCCGCCCACTGCCACGTACAGCACTATAAATTAGTCCTGCGCAGCAAGATATTGTGGTGTGTCCCGCAGGTTCAGTGGAAATCCCAGGAGTACAGACCTCTATGTTGTAGTGACATTCCTAAAACATGCTACAGTATAAATGTATGCAAAATTGGTGCAACCCAATTCAGTTTTTAACATTAGCATTAGAGATGCTACTGTTAAAAAACGTGAGCTATACAACTGTGTAACCTTTCACTTGCAAACAAAATGTTATTTAAAATTAATAACCAACTCGAAATGTAGGCTTGTTATCGAAAATGTTTAGGCATTCTGTAAAGCTTTTAACAGTTGCTACGAAAGAACACATTTGTGGGCGGAGCATGAATAGGTCAGTTCCTTTGCACTTTCAGTAACAATGTTTCATGTGTGTTATTTTGGAAGTTGTCTTAGTTTCTTTCGAAAGTTTAGGCCAGAGCCTGTTTGGCATCCTCACAATTCATAATCGCCATGTATATTCATACTCATTTGTATGGTGAGCAGTTGTCAATATGAGGCGAGCGATACACTGATGCTTTGCTTGTTATCCCTGTCCTTCAGTCTCCAGAACATGCTCTGTATTCATTGTATGTTGCGTTTGATATTTGTCAGGCATCAGCATCTAAATGAGAACCTGTCAGTTGAGGTCAGAGAGAAGGAAGAATATATCCAAACTGGGAACGTGTGTGGAAGTTTGATCAGGTTATGCCACGTGCAGAAAGCCAGGGCTGCTTTCTGAATCCGGGCTCTGGCTCTCTTCCCACTGGCCTCAGACTGTTGGATATAGTGGGTCATGACAAGGCTGTAAAACAGCTGAGCTTTTCCCTCTGCTTCTGCAGCCTGCCACATTAGCACCATGACCTGCGATTCCCCCAGCTAAAGCCAGCACCATGCCCAGCCCCGCCCTGAGGTGTCAGCACACAGCCGCTTGGCAGCGCCACCCGCAGGCAGCCTGCGCTTATCGCACAGGTGCATTTCGCTGGTGGCTGAAGACGAGTCTCTGTTTAAAAAAGAAACAGCAGGAAAGTGTCAGAACTGATACATGTCAGCGGACGGCTGGTGGTGGTGAGGGAGGGAAGAGAGAGGGGGGAAAAGGAGAGAGAAAGGGAGAGAGAGAAAGGTGATGAATGTAAAACATGGAGACACACTCCATTTCCCACCTGCATTACAGAGGACACTGCTCTGCTCCTCTCCCAAGGGTGAATTACTGCAGCATGACCAGGCAGGCAGATGTTTCTCTTTCCTCTCTGCATATGACCTCTTGGTTTCCATTATTTCTCTCTCTGTTTCTAGACCCATGAATTTCTTTTTCTTTCTTTTTTCTTCCTTTCTTGTCACCTAGTGCTGGCCGATATAACATCTATATGGGTGTTCTCATATTAGTGTCACATCACAGTGTTGAGTTCTAGTTTTAGCTGTATTGATAGATAATAAACTTGCCTCATTCAAGTAGAAATCCAGGCAGAAACACTCCTTATAACTTCAGCATGAATGGGCGGGGCTAAAGTGCTGTAGGCTTAGTAAATGGCTGTTTATAAATGCATTGGTTTTCATGACATCATAAAAACAATTACTTCAAAATGGCCTGTTTTTGCAACTTCAGTTCCATATGTAGACCGTATGGACTGCAGAGTTAATTTTATACTTAGAAACTTAAACAGTGTTTATATACTGCATATACTATGTAAGTTTTGGGGGATTTGGTGATGTTTAAATGTTTAATTGCATGCAAAGTGCGGAAGAACGTTTTGAAACACAGGCTGTGCTTTGGCCTCCATCCCTGAGCGAATTTGATGATTGTGAGGACATTAAGAGAGTATTAAAAAAAAAAAAACCTCAGTCAAAACTTGGTGAAGGGCGTGTCTTCTGAGGATGTAAGTGGATTATTAGTAAACCCAAACACGAGCCAGACCTTTTTGAGCCTGCACTTGTGACGGTAAAATGTAAAGACATGACATCGTCTTATTAACTTCCACCAAATCTAACCCAAAGCCTCTGACTTTTAAATTATTATTTCAAGCTTTACAGGGTAACTCACAGTATGGAGTGATACACTAATGCATTGTTTGTTATTCCTGCCCTTCAGTCTGCAGAACATGCTCTGTATTCATTGCATGAACTGTATGAAATTTTGTATGAATTTTAGGGTGTCAGTAATGATACGTCTTTCAAATATAACAAAAAAATCCTTACATAGCGCAGCTTTAAATTGGCCCTTTAAGTTTTCTTTCTGTAAATGTGATCACTGTCTGGTTAACGTTTACAATACTGTATAAGCCTGTGGTGTAATTTTAAGAAGAGCAGAATGGAACAGAACAGGCCAGTGAGAACAAGCTATGTCAGGTTTGTATGACATTTTAGCATAGAGTACTCAGGAAGTATGAGTTTGTTAACTTTAATAAAGCAGACATAAATATCATTGCTGTCTTATTAAAAACTCTACTTTTTTCTGTTTTTATTTTTTTGAAAACACCAGCTGCCCTTTACAATGTGTGGACATTTCATGATGAATGGACTAGCAGAAAGTCCACAATTACTTAGAATAAAATATTGTCCTCTTAAGATACAGTAAAGAATGTTTTTTGCCTTTTTCTTTGAAATTACCATTTCAGAGGTTTGTTACAACAGCAACAATTTGATCTGATGTGATGTATTTTGAAAACATTGTAAATATAATTTCACAATTATACTGAATTTAATAAGACTGCCCAGTACTGCTTCCCACCCATCAGTTGTTGTGAACACAAATGCCCTCTTCTTCTACAGGAGCAAGGAAAGATTGGGGTGATCTTCAATGTGGGCACTGATGACATCACCATAGACGAGCCGGCAGTCGTTGTGAGTGATGGCAAGTACCACGTGGTGCGCTTCACACGCAGCGGCGGCAATGCCACTCTGCAGGTGGACAACCAGCCCGTCATTGAGCGCTACCCATCAGGTAAACGATCCTGCGACTAGCAGGAGGGGGGGGTCTGTAAGAGGGATGCCCTGACACATGGGCTCTGAGATGATGTTTGTTTGCTGGAGGGAGAGTGGAAAATACCAGGAACAGCAGCACATGAGCAAGAACACATGGAGAGAGAGGAAAAGAGGGAGAGGGAGAGAGAGAAGAGACACAGCCAATCCCAAAGACACACAATTATCGCCCTCAAAATAAACTATGGAGACTGCATTTCTCTGCTCCTAAATCTGACGGGTGCTGTTTGAAGCCTTTGGCATCAATTTAGAGGCATATTGGAGGCATGCCTTGTGCCAGAGTGCAAATTGATTTATATTTTGCGAATGCACGTTATTAGGTTTTGAAGTGTGCCCATTTTGCCTTCAAACTCTTCCCAGGCACTCTGAGTCACCGCATGGAGGGCCCAGATAACCACCGCATGAACAATCTAATAACAATTGCAAATTGACATATTTCCCTCCAAGCTGCCTCGCCTAATACATTCAGCCCAAGATGAATTTGGATCCTTTACAGTATGTAGCTAGCCAGCTTTGCTTTTGGGCAGGCGGAGGGCATCTGTGCGGCTGTGAATGCGTTCCTCCAGACAAACTTTCAACAACAAAGCCAGCTTTCGTTTTTTCAACCGCCAGCCAAAACACCTCAATGGGCTGACCGCAGGAGAGCTTGTGCTCCTAAATTTAGCCTACACTGCAGAAATTATAGCTCAGCAAGTGAAAGCATTTAAATTTAGTCAGTATATCTCTTTTAGGGAAATTTCTCATTATGAGATTATTGTAAGAATATTAAGATTAATAACATTTACAGCGGTGTGCAAAAGTTTGGGTGCCACTGGTAATATTTACATGTTTTGGTGATTTTCTAAAGGGAAAATGAGTGCACATTCTCTACAGAGAACACACATCTCTGCATTTTAGTGCATAATTACTGTTTAGCTGCTAGATTTAACATATTTGGAAAAAATTAAAACACAAAGTATGGCTTGTGAAAAAGTTATGGCACATTTAGTATTTTATGTTCTGTATTTTTCCAGTATTTTAAACCGCAAATACATAGAAATTGTTCAATAACATTTGCAGAAAATGCCATATTTAAGTTTGTTCCCTGTGGATGGATTTGACTAAGGTATTCAAACTTTTGCATATGACTATATATAATACATATGCACTTACTGGCCGCTTTATTAGATACATCTACCTTTTATCTACACTCATTGTCCAATTTATCAGGACCACTTAGTGTAATGGTGCAATTTGTAGGTTTACAATTTTAGGTTGTTGTCTTTCTGTTTCTCTAAAAAGATTTTAGCCTTCCTTTAACTTATTCTTCAGTGGTCGGGACCCTCCCACAGGACCACCACTTGGCAGGTATTATTTGAGTGGTGGATCACTCTCAGCACTGCAGTGCTGGTAAACTACAATCTGTTATTGTAGAACTACAGGGTGCACCTATATGGTAAGTGGACCTGATTATATGGACAATGAGTGTAGACACTAAATGTACCTAATAAAGTGGACAGTGGCTATATATATTAATAGAATTATCCAGCCTACTTATTTTAAGTAACTTTATTTAGCAAAATTTTTGCCAGTTGAAGAAGATGATAAGTAATTATTCATCTAATATTCATACACTTGTCTCATTTTAGATATTCTAGATTTTAGATAATGTTAGATATACTGACTGCATTAAAAATGCATCTGCTTAATGATATCAGTTTTAGCAGTGTATGATCTATGAATGAACTCAACAATGAATTAACTGTACATGCTACTATAAGCTGAAGCTCTTAACCTCTGTAACTAGCTCTGATTGTCCCAGCTATCCCTGTGGTATACCTACTATCGAGCCGTTAGCCGCGTTCAAACAAACATCTCCCTCTGCAGTGGCCCACCCCTCTGTGCTTACCCAGAGAAATGTGAGCAAACTCTCTCTCTCCCCACTGTGTACTCAGGGACTCGCCTCCCTCTCATAGCTGCTGTTCCACAGGAAGACATTTTCTCTGCCTCTAATAACTGCCCCCGCTCTCGCCCCGGCCTCATTTTCCAATCTGTTCTCCAATACACTGCCACACACCAGGCCCGCCGCCCGAATCAAGGGGCTTTCTATCAAAACACAGCTCAGAGAGGGCGAAAACTATTTGAAAAGAGCTCCACTTGGCCCTTCTGGATTCTCCCACCTGCCTGTTTTCTTCTATCCTCCGCAGAGTGCAGGCTGCTCTCCCGACCGCTAGAGGTTGAATGGCTAGGCTCGCCCGCTGCCGAAGATTTCGTTTGATTTCTGAAAGAGAAAATTGGTTTTCTACTGCTGAGACTTAGGCTTCCCAGCCGTTAGGGCTCCTCTAAGCCTACTCAGGTGCTGGAGGTAGATGGGGCCATCTTCTGCTGAGCCAAGGCATAAGCCAGGCTTAGAAAGTAGCCAAAGCCCTCTTATGCCGCCTCTTTAAACAGAGTTACACACATTTCTATGGAACGGCACAGCATTCCTGAAGCCTTTCATTTCATCCTGAAGGACTTCAAAGAGCTGGGCATGTGTGCACAGCATCCAGGACATGCAAAGTTTGTGTGTAAACGGAGTTGGCAGTGTTTGGCCGAGATTAACAGCCGTGATTAATTCAGTTAATTAAAACGGAGGATTAGATAACGAGATATGTTGTCTGATGGCAGATTTGAAGCTCCCTGTGGATAAACGCGTAGACAGGCCCCTTGCATCTGTTCTAGGGTTTCACTGAAAATAAGGACAATATTTTCCATGATACTAAATTATATTGTCTTAGGAAGGTGATTTTTTTGGTCAAAAAATTGGAGGGCCTCTATAGCAAATGCAACAGGATGTGTTTTATTGGTTAGACTAGCTTTTTCTACTTTTTTTCCTCGTACCACCAGCTGCTTACTCATGGATGAGCTCTATTTCAAGTTTTCTTTAAAGGTTTGGCAGAGCATTTGTCACACATGAGAGCTTCTAACAGGCTTAAGGAAGTGGGAGGTTTTGGCCTCCATTCAGAGTGCAGGGTGGATAGGGAGAAGTGATGAGGCGGATGTCATAGGATGAAGTCGGCACATTGTGCTGTGTACGGACCAGTTACTACAAGCTTATGCGACTATACCTTACGTCTTACTGTAAGAATAACAGACCTCGAGTTGTTCTAGCTGTCAAGATGCTGAGCGTAAAAAAGGGTCTATTTATCATTCTTGTAGGTATGCTGAGCTATTAAAGGTCAAATCAAATGCTATTGAATAGCAAATAAATCAAATTAGACATCCAAATATGAGGAACCTTTACCTTCCTTCCTCTATGATTGGGTACTTGTGGCCTCAGAGTTTAAGAAAGGGATGAACGTGATGAATGAATGAAGGAAAATGACAGTGGGAGGGGGCAAAAGAAGTGGAGCTGAGATAGCCTGTAATGTGACGAGATCCTTATCTCTCTCCCAAAGAGGTGGCGGGCCTGTAGAGTTAGTTTTAGCCCTGCTAAAAGGACCTATCAGCCCCTGCCTCGAACACACAGGGGCAAGGGAAAGTGTAGCAGCTCATCAGATACACGTTGTCTCTTATCTGGGAAACCAATGCAAGTCAATTACCATGAGCTTTCTCACCATAATTACTTGTAAGCTTTATCATGTCTTATTTGAATATAATTACTTGGTTTTAAAGCAAACATCCTGAAAATGACTTCCTGAACCTATTCCATTTGAACTGTATTTAATGCATGTCAAAATATGCAATATTATCATTGTGGGTCATTGATGTCTTTTTGATTAGATCTTGCTGCCCTGAAATGACACTGAAATTAACGAAATGATCAAACTAGACGTAAAACTATCACTAAATATGTTCTCACAGCATTCTAACCAGATTTTAAACTGTTTTAATTAGTACATAGCTTCTAAACCTGTCCAAGTAACTAACTAAGTCCATCGTAAACCAACATAACGCACATCTTAAAGCTAGCTTCTACTTCCTAACTTGAAAATCTTGCTAATCTTGTTGACTTGTTTTTAACCCTGTGACGCTTGAACTTCCAGATATTAACCTCTAACTATCTGTCTCTCTAAATTCTTTGAAGGGAACTTTGATAATGAACGGCTGGCTATAGCCAGGCAAAGAATTCCATACAGACTCGGTCGGGTAGTTGACGAGTGGCTACTCGACAAAGGTAAAAATAATGGCTTAATTAAACAGTGACTTAATGACTTATTGAGACTCTGTAAGAGGTGCAGTTTCCAGAATTGGCTTCACAGAATTGGCATCTTCAACATTGTGAACAGAGTTGGTACACAAATTTGAAACGGTGGCTGCCCACTCAAGATGTCCATGGTATTGGTCATCTCTTGCTGCCATGTGGGCCTTTTTGCTTAGTTTCAACAACTTCCTACTGTCATTCCAGAACCAAGAACTGCACCACTTCAGAGATTAAGGTTTAATACATAACATAATCCCTGACTAACCCTGAAATAACACCCCGTTACTGCAATAACTGTCTGTAAATAGTCTGCTGCTTTCTATGATCTGTTTTTCTCCTCCTTGTCTTCCCCTCTAACACATCAAACGTTGCTAAACATGATTTCCTAAATAGCACTAACTCATGGAAAAGGGATAACCATTCCAGTTCCAAATAGTTAAAGGGACGTTCTTTTCACATTAAACTGAGCATAAAGTTGACGTAAAACCGCACTTGATCTGTCTTTAACCCTTTGAGTGTATTAGAAATAGTAAGATTGTTTGTGTTCTGCTAAATTTTCACATGTAAGACATTTGCATGTATATGAATTACAAGAGGAATCGCACCATATGTTGTTGAAGAAACAGCTCGTTCCTTGTCATGCAAAAGTGACAACAATATCAGAGCTTTGCACTACCCCGCAGACATCTGCGCTATCCTCAAATACCGTAAATCAGCTCCCTCTGCTCACGAGATGTGCAGGATAAAGTTCACCGGTTCTGACTTTTTCGACTCATTGCATCTTTTTCATCTATATGCAAACTTTTCTGATGTGCAAGCATCAAGCTAAATGTTAAGTGTAGAACAAATACGCTTACACGACAGCAAGTAAAACTGACCTTTCCGTTTCTGCGTATTCCAGTTAATTCAATTTGAATAAAAATGCTAAGAATTACCATGTAATCCGGAGTTTAGTCCGCTGTTTCTGCAAGTTGAAGGGTTAAAGACCATACATCTACCGTAACAGTCACTAATGACTATAAGCCGAACCAACCTCATGCTCCACACACATTAGATACATAACTATACAATCTTCCATGTAGATTGTACCTAACTCACACATCGTAGATTTAACTGCTTATATAAATAGGCAAATAACTTAAATACAGTATAACTACTTCCTTAAACCGCTACATCTAATCCATACTAATTATTCTCAATAACTCAGAGGGTTAAACATTTTCTAACTATGAATGATAAAGATCTTGCCACTAATCACACAAATGAAATGACTTTGGGTCATTTTAACTAAACAAATACGCTTACAGTTGACATATAAACAATGTCCCTTTAACATGTGTAACATCACAGCTTTTGTAATGTATCAGACCCCTCATATTTCAGAACTGTGTGCTATGTGAATGTTTTGATGATGATATGACATTGATGTATGCTTAGATAAAATCATGTTTTTCAGTGAGTTCTCTTTATTTAGCCTATCAGTATTGGAAAGGACTCTCTGGTCTCCACAGATTCTGCATTCATGCCCTTAAGCCCCTTTTGAGTTCATTGCATAACAGTTGAGCAACAAAGATCATTCCAGCCTTGAACTACTCATGCCAAACAATTTTGGAGCTGCAGTGTCTGGTTTAATGAATATATGAGCAAGCTGGAGACTGCCACTCATTAGATATCTCTGATTCTGGAGAAAGGCTAAGCTAAGTGAGCCATTTCTTACTCACTTCCTAGACAGAATTCAAACTCCTATTTGTGTACTTCAAGGCTCATAAAGTACATGCAGTTGCGTATAAATGACTCATGTTTGATGGTCTACTCTAGGACAGATACGAAGAGGAGAGTAACTGTCTGGAACTAGATTTCTTCATGCAGTGACCGTTTTTGATGAGCCCTGGTCTTTTTTAACCATGCTCACTTGTGTCAAACTTAGTTGCCACTCCACCATTAAAAACTAGAGCCTACTCGTGTTAAAAGGCAACCTCTCATTAACGATGGAGTGGCTCTCACTAAGGGCATAACAGCTGCCCACTTCATAATCAACTGTGTCAGAGTACCTGTTCACCAGGAATAAGTAGATGGCTGAAGTCCAGCTTTCAGAAGCCAACAGCAAGAGCCTTTTCCCAAATCAACTGTCCTTTTATCTTTTTAAATAGTTGGGTTTTTTAGGTTTCAGTAGGCACTGAATTCTTTTGTCAGCCCGGTTTGATTTGTTTTATTGGTTTTGCAATAGGAGTTCTAACATAATCTAACCAATTATGATCCAATTGAATAGCCTCTCTGTGATTTAATCATTCTTAATAAAGTAATGAATTTTTACTATTTGTAAATTGGGATGTTTTGAAAGAGTCTTATATCTGGTTTAGACATTTTTGGATCAGTGCAACTTAAAACACAACTGGCAAGAGAGCTGAATGTAGAATTTAGGGGACCAGATTTTAATTGAGAATAAGTGCAAGTGTGTTTGAGTGTGTGTATGTGTGTGTGTATATGTCTGCTCATGGGGTCCAAGGATGAGGAAGAAACCCCTCATGCCTTGGTAACACATTAGCATTGGAGCTAGCAGATGACACTTATCCATGCAGATTAGCAACAACAAGGCCTCTGAATAAAACATTTCTGAAAGCTCTTTACATATTCATAAATATTGTTTTCCAATTTTACTGCCTTTATTCACTTCATTATCCATCACTCAAGCCCCACTAGGTTAATGAGGCTCAGATGATGATATGTACTTGTGTATTCTGTAATGCTAAGAGCCCTTTTTCCATTGGTCTTCCATCTTAGCGCGTCTAGTGAAGCTACTGCAGCTTTGTAGCCGATCTTTGACTTCATCTTTTATACATCACTTTGACTTCTACTCTGAGTGGGTCAGAAGTAAAAGGCCATTAGAATTGGATATTTTCATCACTAGGTCCAAATGTTCAAAGTATTATCAGCCCATGCAGGTAGACATTGACACAAAATATGCAGAACACACTTTCTAGTCCATACTGATTTGTGACTCTTCCCCTCTCTGTTTCTGTCTGCTTTGCTGTCATTCTACTTCTTTTACTCCTCCATTTCCTCCTCTCTCTGTCTTTTCACCCTCCTTTCTTTCCATCTCTACTCTAATCCATCGCAGGGCGACAACTGACCATCTTCAACAGTCAGGCAGCCATTAAGATTGGGGGTCAGGATAAGGGCCGGCCGTTCCAGGGCCAGATCTCAGGCCTATACTATAATGGGCTTCAGGTGCTGAAGCTGGCTGCTGAGGGTGACCCTAATGTTAAGGTGGAGGGCAATCTGAGATTGGTGGGGGATGCACCCTCTGTCTTGTCCACAGAGACCACCTCTGCCACGCCTCCAGCGGCTGCCGACATGTCTACCACGATCATGGAGACCACCACTACCATGGCCACCACCACCACCCGCAGACAGCGCTCCCCCAGTCTGAAAGACAGCATCACACAGGTGAGGAGGAGAACGTGATGCTCCTGTAGTCCTGGAAGCACCGTTCCTGGGCAAGATGCCGTTGTGTTGGCCCACCTATAAACAGTGATTACCTACAATGTATCCCTCATGCAGAATGAACAAAGTAGCCCAATAATTTTCTGTCCTAGTCTGAGCTAACCCACAGTATCAAGTTTTGAGTCTGAACCCAAACCAAGTCTGACAAAATTCTATCCGAAGCTGACCCAACCTGAACCACATCTCGGGTTTTTAGTCCAAAACTGACCAAATTTCTAATGATAACAGCAGTTGAACTACTATGTAGCAATAATAATAGCCTTAATCAGATTACAGTAGAATACAGAATACAGTAATGTAATTTAAAGAATGAATCAGTTGTTGAACAATATCCCAATTTTTTGTAGTATAGGTAAACTTTCCATACTGCGCTTTTTTTCACACTGTGTAGTGCAGATCTAGCAAGATTTCAGACTTTACCTGTTTAATCCTAGAACATCTCTTTCTGCACAAAGAACACGTTACATATAACATATTGAACACCCAAAATAAAAAGTGGTTTTGGCCAAACAAACATTTTTGCGGCACTGAGCTGTACTTTACTAAATCAATTCACTGTTATTCTTTGCACATCCACTTTCTCATGAATGTGGGCCTTGTGGACCTCGGTGCTTAATTCTGTCAACAACATGAGTGGGGGATATATTAAGATAATGATATTAAGATAGTGAAAGGGAGGATGGCTATATAGTAAGGAGAAAAACTAATGGAAATACAGGGTAAAATCTATTAAAAGTAGGAGGCAAGCCATGAAAACCCAAACATGCAACTTGTGCCCAAAACATATTTGTGAACTGCTTTATGAAGTCCAGACTTGCTTGGTATTCTGCATCTGTACTGTATTCTGTATTTGTGTATCATATTGATTTATTTCTTACTCGTTGACAAATAAAATCATACTGAATGCATTAGGTTCTCATCAGTCAAATGATAGTTACAGAGCTCTTGGAGCACAACACTTTGTTTGAGCAGCAAAGCTAACTCTCCCTTCACCTGAATGCAGGATACTGTTTTATAAAAATCAGTTTTGTTGTCACAGCATCCATGGACACAAATACAGTTAATAAGGTAACTTGGCCTTCTATTGGCAGAGAAAAAAGTTGACTTTCTGCCTGTTTCACTCCTGTTTCTGCTCTCCTCTAACTTTAAGTCTATCCATCTCAAGCATTTCTGCTTTTAATCCCTGCGCTCTTTTAAGTAGTCCTGTTGTTTCTCAAATAATTATCACAAATGATTATTCGTTTTATCAAAGCTATGGGAGACCATTGGCAGTGCAGCAAAACTGTTTGAATTAAAGTATTTCATTATTTGAATGAAAGTGAATCCTGTAATGAAACATTCATTTAATTGAATCTTGTGTTTGATTTATCTGTGACACAGATGAAACACAGCTTATTTTAGTTAGTTTTTAAAATCTGGTTTCAGTGCTCAGTCTTAACTGAATTCAACCTTCCCTACTCATTTCCTCACTGAGCTATCTGTCAATATTTGACTCTTTGTGTTTTTCTCATGTATCTGGTGAAACTAAGCATTTTGCACTTGACTCACAGGAAGCTTCTATATATATTGACCTAAGAACGCTTGTTCAGCTTGAGCCAGCATCTTTAAAACCAACAGCAAGGGTCTGTTAATGTTTATCCTTATGACTGTCATATCTGGCATCATTCCCCATGTTTTGATCCCTGTAATGTATCAGCTAAAAAGCACATGCTATCAGCAGTGACTTCAGTATTCAGAGCTTCAGTATTCTTCCCACCCTGTCAGGGTTTATTTGTGCTATGTTCAACTTCATTGATCAAGAGATAGGAATTGATATGAGAGAAAGGGCACACTCAATAACAATCAGTGTCAATCAGAGCTGAACTGTCAGGCTTTATAAGAAGCAGCACTGTGCCTTAGCACGAATGTGGATGGGCCCAGATGCAGGCCGTGTTTGTGCTGTGAATCCTCCTAATCCTGACTTAGACGGGTATAAATAGCCACACAATGCAAAAGTAGAGAAATGGGAATGTGAGTGAGATGGCTTAGTGCTGAGGGGCTCCCAGCACAGCACTGCTCTCTGTTTCCCCTCCCAAAAAGGGAGAGAGAGATTTGAACAGGATGGTAGTGTCATAGATAGGAAATTCATTCAACCCCTGGGAGGAACTACATTAACATTAGTGCGGGGGTAAGAGGCATCTCACAGGACAGTTTGCTCATTTTGAGTGAGATGTTATTTCTTTTTCATAAAAAAGGTGAATAAGGTCTTTTTTAATGATGTCAGTCTAGACTGCCAGACCTCATTGGTCCTATTATGTTGAATGCTGCAAGTTCAGGAAAGGAGTTTCAGGGTGTGTTCAAACAACAGATTTTGCACTGAATCTTAGTCAAAGTGTATCTATTTTCTGGATGTCAGACCACAACCACATTGTTTGACTAATATCAGACCAACAAGTCCAAACTCCAAAGTGGGGACAAGCAGGGGTCAATTTGAAGGAGGATCCGAGGGGATGGCATTCCTGTCAAAAAAGACCACCCCCCTCCCTCCCCTTTGGATAATTATGATACACTGAGTTGCCTAGGATGTATTGGGTGTTCTTCATATGAAACAAACAACTACTTCCTACCTCCTAGCCTTTATTAGTGGCACTGACATCCACATCTACAACATAGAAGCTCATTGCTATCCTACTGTCACTGTGATATTTAACTGCATCTTGTCTTATCCCTCAGCTTTAACAGTGACTGCAACTACCCTCTGTGGAGCTACAGCTGGTTTTTCAATAGCATCCCATGCTTTAGCTCAGAAGCTAATCAGTGCTTCCTCTGCTCTAGCAATCTAACTGCAGTTTACAGCTTCATTTGACATTCTCCATTGGGTTCCCATGCCTCAACATAGAGGCTAATTATTTATGGTAGGACCATAGAGACATTCTAACCTTATGACAACCACAAGCTCAAGCTTTGTATCTCAGTGTACTTGTATTGTAGCATGATGTCTGTGTCATAGAGGCAAGACTGTCCTGCTGCTTCAGAACTAATTTCAGGCGTTACATTGCTGGAAAGCCTCAAGCTAATAAACATTCAGTGCTCACTGCTATGCATAGACATACAAAACAAGGGCTTAGAACTCTTCTGTCACCACAGTGGTGTGCTAGATAACAGATTTGTTGTCAAGCATTGTCCAATAATGTCCTTGCAGTATCACTGCAGCTGGGTGCTGGCCCTTCCACTGATAACACTCCTGTTAAAGAGCCTCTTGAAGCACAACTTTAGTAGAATGAAACCCCTTCTTTCCCTGTCATTAATGCCTCATCTACAGCTGCAACAGGTTTGCTTTTAAGACACTTTTTCCAATGCAGAGCCAGTGATGACTACCTGCCACTGTCTCATGCTTGATCAAGCAGCTCCATGCACTCAAAGTACACTCCCTCTGACACATTTTCTCTGTGTCTGACAGAGCGGCTACCTTGATGGGCACTATTACTTTTTTCTTGGCCTGTCCAAAACTGGACAGTCCTCCCTCTGTAATCACTGAGTCTGTTGTGTCCTTCTACAGGACAAAAGCTTAATTCATTCTCAAACATAATGCTAGTTCACATTATGCATGGCTGGTGATTCTTCGTCCTACTGTCTCAACAAATGCTTTAATCCATTGGTCTAACGTACACCTATTCTGCAGAAACATTGCTCCAAATCGTGGCCGATTTACCTGGCATATCAATTCAATGTTCTCATGCTTAGCACTGAGGTGATTCATCAGGTGTTTGCAGGCTGTGCTGTTTTCATTGAGATTAAGGAGTAAGAAATTCTTCTCTATGTAGATGATTTGGCTTTGATGTATCCCCACAAGTAGTCAAACTAACCTGGACATACTCCCACTCCCACAGCATATGTCAAAATTTGGGTTCCCCTGTGGCTATCATCTGTTTCACAGTTCCATCGATAGACCCATGTTTGGCTGCATGCTCACTTTGCAGGTGGGAGAACTGGGTTTGATCTCACCATTCAGACAGAAATTAAAAAACTCCTCTATAATATGCCAACATGAGTCATTGTGTGAGGGTCCTAATTAACATTACATTCACCTGCCATTGTAAATTGCTCTGGATAAATGCAGTTGTTAAATATGTGGGGAGAAACACTATTTGTGGTTGGTACAGTATAGTGCAGTGGTTCTCAAATTGGTCTTCAGGGACCCCCAGACAGTCCACATTTTTGCTCTATCCTTATGTGTTGTGAGTTGGGTTCAGGACTGTCTGGGGTTACCTGGGGACTGGTTTGAGAAGCTCTGGTGTAATGGGCAACCCGGCTGCACTCCTTGCTATACCAATAGGGGTCCTTGGGCAAGATCCTAATGCTGCATTTGCCTACCACTGTAACATTTAAGTTGCTCTGGATAAGAGCATCTGCCAAGTTCTGTATATGTAAGTGTAGCTCTGTAATGGCATCATTATCTCTCACATGCATCCGAGTCAGATTCATGTGCAGCCACCTGACATTTATTGCTGTCTTCTTAGTAGGCTGGTGGCCATAGAATACATCAGCTATGGTTACACAATACTCACTTGTCATCGAGCCATTTCTTCAGCAGAGCTGCACAGCTTCAGCAGAGTTGTTTTTCTGTACAGGAGTCAAATCACTGCCCTCATCGGTCCTCCTTTTAAGAAAGGCCCAGCTGCTGGGGCAAGGTGCATTGACACACAAGTGACCAAATCAGCTGCTTATGGCTTCTTACAATTCTGATTATTCTGGAAAAACAACACAGGATACATCCACTCAGATGTCTTTCACTGGAGACTGCATGGCCATTCCAAGGGTTCCACTGCTGTATCCCCTTATAGGGAGTTCACTCAGAAGTTGTGGGTTCTTGCTGCAGAACTTTCTGTACAGCCTGTGCTCAAGCTCCTGACAGAAGCACATCTTAAGTGGAGTTTACTGAAGACTACCTCCATCTTGGCAATTACCTTAAATTAAAAGCGTAAAACAAGCTGCTCATAAGGGGGTACTTGTGCGGGTTTGATGGCCAATACTGCATTTCTCCCTGAAATCTTATTCCCTCAACATATTTATTGAAGGGGCTTCCTTAACTGATGAGCAGGAGCACAGTCTGTGTCTTGAGGTATTATGCGGGTTTGACTGCTAAGAGTCGTTAAGTCAGCAGTGTAGTTCAAGCAAAAAGGATGTTTCGAGACAAAATGTCATCTTTTTGGCCAAAAAGACAGGGTAGTTTAAGTTCACATGGCCACTAAACAGAACTTCTAATCACTATATTGTTTGCTGTGAGACCTCCCCCTGACTGTGTTCCATGTGCCACATAGGTGCCTTCATCACTGCACAGAGTAGGTCTCTGATGATGCTGAGTGTCACACATGCACATGCACAGATAGACCCTGGGGGGACAGGGGATGGGGGGCTTCAGCCCCTGTTCTTTTGCCATCAGATGGCCTACAGGTCCATCCAGCAGTCCTACACCAGACTCTTCTTACCTAGTCCAGAGTATAGCTACTGTACACATCTAGCAGACTAGAACTCATAACACCACAGTAATATTTATAACTAGTTATATTTCTCCTACATACTGAGGGCCAGCATTGCACTGTATCAGTTTTCTGGTCTAAGAAGGTTTCTGAATGACCTTGAGGTTTTTTTCCCAGTTCTGAAGCAAGCGAGTGATGCACCATGTAAAATGCAGCTGTTCCGATAAGGCTCTAAGAATATATTTGAAATTGAACCACTAGAGGGGCTGCCAAGCAAGGCCTTGATTAAGTTGACAACAATTTGTTTCTCCCCTTGGGATTACGACATTTTAAGTGCCCTCAACTGGGAACACTTTGTGTTTGTCTTTCTGCTGTGTCACAAATTAGTCATGGTGCATTTGTCAGAACCTTACACACATATCGAAATAAATATAACCAGCGATTCCAGCACCCTTCATAAACTTGTCTTATTAAACACATATGCATTGTGCAGAACTGCAGATAAGAGAGGTCCTAATTATGCTTTAATAAATGCAGCCAGGCAAAGCTAATGCTGCAATGCGTCTTTTAATGAGAGGCTCAGGATGTCAGAGTCTTGTGTGTGTAGTAAATCAGACTCAAAAGCAAATTTATTTTAGCGTTTCATTTGTCACAAAAGACATTGCAATGACTTTGATCATTTTAAGTAAAGCTTTGATGGTGCAATGCAGCCTTTCATGGTACCTTTGATCTTTTTTTCCAGTATGGATTTCTCAAACTGTAGCAGCATACAAGTAAATCAATACTTGAAGAATGAAAAGCTCATTATAAGTATTATCTATTTATTTCCATAATAATATTAATGAAGTCTTCAAATGCATTCTAGAAGTCATAGAGGCCAACAGGCTTCATTTTTAAGCAGAAGAGATATTCAATTAATAAGTGAATGTCAGTCATATGCAGATGCAAGAGTACCCTTGCATATATTCAACTGGAAGCAGTTACTGTCTTTATGAATGAGAAGGATGTGCAGATATCATATTAAAGCTGCTTTAGCTCTCATATTAAAGAAAATTCTGAAGGAATTGGTATTGTTATTCAGAGCCAGGAAGGTCATATAGTCTACCGCACTGATGCTTGAGAAAGGATCTACCATTTGTGTTTATTTATAATACAATATAAAAGGTCATCCTCCACTCGAATATGAATTTATTTCTTTTTGTGTGAATTTACTTGTAAAATTATTGGTGGGACTGAAAAAGCAATATAAATGTCACCATTGATAAGAATCCTCTTATACTCCACGCCTAGCTAGTTAGATGGTGTAGATGGTGCCTCAACAAATGGAGGTATGCTTGTCCAAGTGAATAGTGAAATTGTTATGACCTCCTGATAGGAGAGGACAGACTGATGCATTAAAATCAGTCACGGCCCGGATCCAATTACATGTTTTATGAATATGAGGTGCGAGTGCAGAATGTTAATTCGACCTTGGCCCTAGACCAGGAGCCAACAGAGACGTTCCGGATTACTCTGTATTCTATACATATGTAATGTGGAGACTCCATATATGATGGGATATTACATGGTAATTCAAATCACCAGCTGGGATTCCATCCGTGAATCACCACAAATATTCAGTAATTACATTTGGCCGAAGAATTGATTAAATGGACATCAAGAAGATAATAGTCACATATTCTAATTGATATTCAAGTTCATATATAACGGACAAAAGGGTGTGATGTAGTACGTAGACATTATTAAAGTTACAAAACATACCATTCACTCCTCTTTTTGGACAGTCCATATAGCTGCAAACACAGCATTGTTTGCATCTTGGTAGTTGGTGTATTCTTCACAGTGAAAACATCATATAACATTAGAATAAATACAAACAACATAAAAACACTAAATAGTGGAGGCTCTTGAGTGCAGTCATCTAAGTGCTGGCTCTATATTCAGGAGATGGTGAGCCTATTCCCCGGTGATGCTTCAGCCATCCATGGCTGGGAGTTAAAGACAGCACAGTTGGCCTCCCTCTGTCTGGGTGGGTAGGATGGCCCCCCCTCTTCCCCCATTACCCAGCATGATGCTAGCCAGCACAGGTGTCTAACTGGCAGTTAGCACTGTGTCCAATGATTTGCGTTAGTGGCAGTTTGAGAAGATGCAATGGCTGGCTTCACATGACTTGGAGGAAGCATGCGCCAGCCTTCACCCTCCTAACACTGGTAGTATTATGTGATTGTGGGAGACCTAGCTAGTGGGTGGAACTGGACATGAGAGAACTGGGGAAAAATACCAAAAAAATAAACAAATACTGTAAATAGTAACATAAACTGATACTTGATTCCAGGCCAGATGAGGAGATGTTTGGGAATGGTTAAGCGAACACACTGACACACATAAAATCACTGCTTATTACGTTAATTTTATCTGTATTCATTCCAATATTAGTGTTTTTCTGAGCAAATGCAGGCTTACCGGACAGATAAATTTTTTTATTTTAAATTTAAAGCAGCTTTTTTAATTCTAAAGGATAAAGAGAACTTGTGAAATATTCATGTAAAAACATTTTACGACTGTCTTTGGTATATTAAGCTGCACAAATATCATGAGTGGATAAATCATAAGTGGAGAAAATACAAGAGAAATGTAGAATATTGGCCCACTGACTTACTTCAGTTTTGTTGTTAACAAATGTTGATGTTGCCACTAGTTGCCACCTTAGCCACATTAGATAGCTTAAATGAGCTATTCCTGTAAAGATTGCATATGTTATTTAGAAAGTGCCTCTAAACGGAAATGGAAACAAATATTACACAAATAACACAAATATTTCTGGTAATGACTAATGTACATGTCTGTGTCCTGCTCTTGTGCAGAACTCTGATGACCTGTTGGTGGCATCGGCAGAGTGCCCCAGTGATGATGAGGACCTGGAGGAGTGTGAGCCTGGCACTGGTGAGTGAACACAAATAGAGGCTAGCAGCACTCTAGCCGTGTAGAGGAGCACAGGCTCCAGACCTCTCGTTTCACTCACTTCAGCCGTATCCCAGCACTCTACAATACCAGCCAAACTGACCAGCCATACGAGACAGCCTGGATAAAGCTTAGGCAAAAGAGAACTCATTTGGCCTTTTCTTGCTGTGTATTCTATTAAGAAAAGATTAATTAAATCACTGTAGTTCTACACATGAGAACAAAAGCTTTATTACAGACAGAGCAGAACAAAGACATAATAGAAGGTCGTCACAATAACACAGACCATCGGCCTGATTGAATTATCCAATTCTGAGTCATCCAAGGTGATAAAGATAATTAAATATTTAGTGTCATAAATGCACTACAGACCTTTTCTTATTAGCACCTTTACAGATTATGCTTTGTAAGTCCACTTGGGACAGTTTCACTTTTTTGCTGTGTCAGGCCAAGCTGTTCTCATCCAACCCTGTCCATCAGCTGAAAAAAAACAGACACTAATTGTAATGTCTGACAAATTTCTGCCTCAACAGAGACAGCGCAGGTACTCACAGTCAGCATGACACCATCAAGTGTTAGAGTGCTATCTAGTCCATTGGGGAACGTGCTCTTATGTTAGCTTATTAAAAAATGCACTTTTCCATATGCTGTAGAAACTTATTATTAAAACTTTCATAGTGTAACCCCCTTTGCTGACACTTTTCATAAATTTGAGTATATAGCAGTGCTGAAATAGTCTTATGTTCAATAAAGTGGGATTGTGCCATTTTGCATAATTGAATCCCACAATCATTTCTCTGCTACTCCCCTGTATTAATATAGTGTTAAAGCGATGATAGCAATGAGCCCTTTTAGCTGGAGTTATTTCTACATGGAGCTCACTGAATCATGAACTGTGGCTAGCTCTGAAATGAATAGTGACTGGAACGTAGTGTATGTGTGAAGCAGTCGTAGCTTAGAGCCTCATCACCTAAACCAAATGCCCCACTTCTCCGGCCAATTTACATTCCTAAATGGTCATTCTCCTCAATGATTAGATTCCAATGGGGGCATTTATTATGGTCAGAAGTTTCATATCACATGCTTTCCTGCAGATTTATTAGCCTTCTTAGTGCTTCATTGTGGGAATGTTGCCTTATCCAGTATCTCAATTAGGCATTGTCAGTGGACAATGCTGTAGAATTTGGCACAATTTAATTTTGATAACAAGCTTGAATGTAAGAATCTGTCTCTGATTTGTTTTTTTCTATCTAATCCACAATTTTAGGATTCAATGCTTTCATAAGCTAGCATTACATATCTCAGTTTTTCATAATAGCTTCCATCCTAATATTCTAGTAACTGCTTTAAGTTGAAGAGAGAGAAATGCCCTCTGTCATTATTATGTCTTTATGTCCAGAGAAAATAGAGAACATGAGATTGATATTTGATCAAAAGAGAGAAGTAGAGCTCCAAAAAAAATGTTTTTGCACAAAATAAAGCTAAAGCAGTATAAAGGGGAGAAAAGTTGTGTATTAAGGGACCATCTTACACAGCTTTCTTTTTTGTAATTTGTTTTTTTTTTCCATGCAAAAATCATGCGGCCTATTTGTTGATGTAAGTGACCCAAACTCCATGGTTTGCTATTTTGTTTTACCAAAGAGGAACCAGGAACAAGCTTACTGTTTTTTTATTCAAGCAGTTTATTCATGCAGCTGATCTTAAAGTATCTACATTAGCCATCTGCAGAACATACGCTAAAGATTATGTTTATGTGTCAGTATTTATTTTTGGAATGTCAACTCTAATGCAGAATGTAGGTTAAGTTACCATTTTAGAGTACTAATAGATAATGTGTTGTGTTGTAAGCGTAAGCGTAAGCCCCTATGGTGTTGATAAATGAGTTTGTAGTGATGTTAATAGACAGATTTATTTTTAATTTTTTATTCCACACTAATTCTTGCTCCTCTTACCTTCTGTTTCTTTTTTATCACAGGAGGTGAATTAGTGTTGCCCATAATTACAGTGGACACCCAAGACCCCCAGTCTGGGGCCACCCATTACCCTGCCATCCCCCCTCCCCCGACCTCCCTGAGCCCCCTCCAGACCACCAAAGAGTCCCTGACCCTGTCTGAACAAAGGCCACCGTGCCCCCCAGACCAGGAGGACTGCGGTGACCCCATGGAGGTGTCGGCCTTCGGCTCGGGAGAAATGACCGAGTCGGATGACGAGGACTTCTATAAAAACTCCCCAATGGTCACTGATAGGACAGTCCTGCCTCCGCCACCGGCTGTGGGGGGCAAAAGCGGGGGCCATAGTCCCGGCGGCCATCGGCCACCTGCCCCCCCTGCCCCAACCACCCACCCCGACCAGCTCCATATCCCCGCAGGTAAAATGAACACCCGTGACCAGGTGCTCCTGCCCCCCGCCCCGTCCTCCCGCCTCACCCCAGGACTAACCTACCCACCCGATTTCCCCCATGTGCCCACAGCTCACCCCACAGCTCCAGTGGACAAGGGCCTCCCCGGCGCGGTGGAGGTCATCCGCGAGTCCAGCAGTACCACAGGCATGGTGGTGGGCATCGTAGCGGCCGCCGCTCTCTGCATCCTCATCCTCCTCTATGCCATGTATAAATACCGCAACCGCGACGAAGGCTCCTACCAAGTGGACCAGGGCCGTGGCTCCGGCACCGAAAGCAATGGTGCAGTGGTCAAAGAGAAGACGCCCGGCACCACCACCGCTGTGGCCAAGACCTCCACCAAGGGAAAGAAAAACAAAGACAAAGAGTATTATGTCTGAAAGAGGAGTGGGAGAGAGAGAGAGAGAGAGAGAGAGAGAGAGAGAGAGAGAGAGAGAGAGAGAGAGAGAGAAGGTTCAAAGAAAGCTAGTGGGCTGTGGATTTTCCAGCTAAAATCACCCTCCTCCTCATCCTCAAACATTTAAGCCTCATGCTCTTTCACTGCATTTTCAGAAAGTTTTTCCATCCCTTTATGACATATGTAAGGTAAAGATGGAGAGAGAAAGAGAAAAGTGAGGGAATATGCCGATAAAAGAGGTGAATGCCCCTATCTTGGGTGTCTTACAAAGCTATTTTTCACCTCATTTAATCCCCCTTTTGCATCTCAAGGAAATCTTCCATTACATGCTAGATGATGAAATGCTATTAATTCTCTTTGCAATTAAAAATTCTGTTTCCAGAGCACAGGCTTCCCTAGAGGTTAATGAATCACCACGGAAAGAGAGAGAACAACCCCCACCACGCTCTCTCTTACCAGCCATGGTCTCCAGTGTCTGCCACTTGGTGATATCTGCAAGTCCCCTGTTTTGAATCCTTTAGCTATTTTCAAGTAAAATCAAATGAATCCTGAAATTTGAATGATATGAAAAATGTAATTGCCCATGATAGCATAATTCATGTTGAATAGTAAGTAACTGTGTAATATATTGGGCAAGCAAGTGTTCTCGTGTAATCACTTGAAAATGAGTTAATTAAATCTTTTTTAAAGAAGTAATTATATGGTTGGTAAGAAAAATAGGCCAACAGTATTTATAATCAACGTTTTCATGACCATGTTTACTGATTTATGGGGCATTAAGAATGTTTGTGCTGTGCAATTTTAACTTCTGGCTAGTTTTTGGCCGAGTTTAGAAAAATTCTAGTTAATCGCATGTTTTCTTTGAGAAAATGTATCTCATATATGATCCTCTCACTTGTTATGCATTTTAAATTTACTCGTAGCCAGTGGGCCTACAGGAAGTCATATCATGACGTTTTTGATGGCCACACCTTGAATTGCGGTGTCATGAGGGCCAAAAACCATAAAAGAGTGTAGGAGACATTTGAATGTTGACCATTCTCTCTCTCTCTCACTCTCCATGGTGCTACGATGTTCATTACCTATTAGGCTACTTATTGGTGTTCCATGCATGATGTATTCACGTTCAAACTTTTGGATTAGAGAGTTGTTTGATATGAAATCATTAAGTTGATTTTCATCGTACTGGACAACTCTCGCCTCATTCCTTGGAGGGATTCAGAGCGGCAACTCGTCATGGAAGAAAAGGTCTTGACTAAAGAAATCCAAGAAAAGCTGGAGCTCTTTGCATCAATAAAAGACGCTGTATTTATGTAAATAGAAGATTCTGTGGACGTTGCTGACAGTACATCAGGATACAGGTCTGTGTGTATGCGTGTGTGTGTGTGCGTGTGTGTGAGCGTTTGTCCCTGTTCGTCCTCTGGCTTCAGAAAGACATACTCTAGACTCTTGGGAACTTTCAGTGCCCCTATATTCTTCATGGTGTGAAACTACAGTCCAACGCCCACTGAATGAGACTGAAGAAACTGCATATAAATGGGAGTTTGGAGGGAAGTCGTTTTTGGAGAACTTTGCTGGCATCTTTGCTGAGAGAAGGGGAATGTGTCCAACTCCACATTAAGATGCTGGCTCTCCTCCTCCCTCCACCTTAAAGGGAATGAAAAAAAAAAGCAAAACAGCAAACAAAAACTTCTCTTGAGAAAAGCATTTCTGTATAGAGCGACGTGAACATTTTTATATATAAAGAGGATACAAGAAAAAAAACAGTGCATTGTCCAGATCAGTGGTCATCAGCTCTTCTCCTGGAGATCTACCAGTCTGCCAAGTTTAGCTCCCAGCCCAAAACCTCTGGAACTCAGCTTTGTAGGATGGTAGATCTTCAGGGAGTGAGATGGTGAAGACCGTTCTGGATATTTGATTATTTTGCTGAAATGAAAGTCCTTGTTATCAGAGACAGGTTTGCTAAGTCCTTACTCTCCAAATAAAAAGTGGTCTTCACAACAATGATTATTTCAGTCACATGAAGTGATTTTCAAATGTGAACTCATATGGATTAAAATGTTTGCCGATTTTTATTCAATTTGTTTCAATTCCAACAGGAATAAGACTTTAGCCATATGTCCACACAATTTTCAGTTTTTCTTTCTCAGTATGTTTTTTTGGGTTTTTTTATCCCTCAATATGGTTGCCATTTGCATAGGCTGGTCAGAGTATATTCCTGTTCTTACTTAATGTTATTGTAAAGTGTTCCTGTGAGATGAATTTAAATATGTGTACATTGACAGAGGAAAAAATACACTTGGTTATATACTTCTTAAATTTCTCATTTGGTGTGGTCTCTCATTTCATTGTGCTTTCACATGTGCAATTCAGAATCCCATTCATGGTCCTGATTGTTTTTTTTATAAATCTTCTGGACTTATAGATAGTAATAATTTGTCACTTTTGCAACAAAATCTCTTATCTTTGAATTTGTAACTTCATCAGAGAAGAAAAAAAAACATTCTTAAGGTAAGTTAATGGAAGGAGATTTTAATTTTGAACAAATTCTTTCGACCAGTGTTAATGGAATATAAAGGGCTGCTGGCCTGGATAACAACAAACCAAAATCTATCCAAGTTACAAGGGTTGATGTGATACTGACCATTTGTTTTACTTCTAAGTCACATATTGCCAGTCGCTTGTCTGGCTTTGTGGCTTGTAATGAAATCCTGCATTGCCATGGCCTTTACAGAAAAACAGAGTCTTCCCTACACATTACTGAGCAACATGCCATACCTGCTTTTTTCATTCTAACATACTAAAACTGAATTTTCCATGTGGGCACTTTGAGTTTGATGTAGTATGGAAACAATGTTAAAGTTTGAAAATGTACCATTCACTCTTCGGTCCATATAAGGAAACAAAGCTGCAAAAACAGCCCATTTTGAATTGTGATGTCACAAAGACGTGTTTTTAAATATCCAGCCGTACAGCCTACAGCAGCTGGGCTTCGCCTGTTTGTTTTGAAGTTATAAAGAGTGCTTTAGTCTGGCCTGCTTTTTCAGTGAGGCACAATACAGGGCAGCCAATCAGAACAAAAGTTGTTTATATATATCAGTCTTACAGGCACACTAACAAAAAATAAAAATATAACTTAGTTCACGAGTAAGAAGTTGCAGTTAATCATCACAGGCTGCAGTCAAGCACAGTGAAGGAGGCTTTTGGTTCAAAAACATCTGATGTGGAATTTATTACTTTCACCATTTGGACCATTTAAAGAGTGGTTAATGAAGAAAAATATAAAAAAGATACAAAGAGGGGTTATCACGTTCACTAAACAATTCAGAAACAAACAAGTGAAATATAGTTTCAGTGAACAAATGATCAGAAACCCACTCATATTCCAAGCCAAATATCTTCTGAGAATGAGAGTGATCTCTTTTACTGCCACTCTAATCAGAAGGCAGAGCCAAATTTCTAAAAGATAACATCCTCTTTTATACTTTGTATCAGGTAGGGATAAAAAGACGTTGAAAATTGTTGTTTACAATTTTAAATTAAGTTTAATTAAATGAATGTTTTTCATACATAGAAGCACACAAATGCAGTAAGTGGATAGAAGTTCAACACATTTGCAGAATATGGGTCCTTAATGTTTACATATGACATTTAATACAATTCTCACATTAAAGATTAGACTTATTGGATTGCTGCCACCTTCAACGTGTCTCCTAGTTCAGTATGCAAGTTTTCAAACTGTGGAGTAAAGCACTTTTATTGCATCTCGGTTTCATCATCTGTTTTTATGGTAGAGATGTGGATTCGTGGCCGAGAAGTAGCCACATAGTGGTGATATAAAGCACAGTCTCTGAATTCCTCCTTGCTCGCACACAGCTCAGATCTAAGGACAAGCCTTTGTTCAGTTGCGTCTATGAACTTGTATGATATGAAAGGAAAGAGACCCCCGTCCCTCTCGCTCTATTATTCCAGAGGAAAAAATATAATAATACTAACACAATCCCATAACACAAACCATGCACACACACACAAAGGCAGCTGTTTGACCAGGTGCAAGTCCTGCAGATCAGCTTTGATAACAAAACCTTTATCTTTGGTGAAACACTGGGTGCCAACACACAATTCACTATGACACGGGTTTTGTGACACGCATGTGTGCCAGACTGAAACTCCACACATGGTACAATGAAACATAGTATGTCTATAGATGCACATGTGAAGATGACTGCTAACTATAACACTGATTCTAAGAAACAAAAAGGGGAGTATGAAAGATACAGATAAAAAGAATGAGGGACAAAACTGAATTTTTGCATACAATTTTCAAGGCACGAGATAACAGTAAAAAAGTTTTCTCACATGCATCCACTTTTCTTATAATGCCAGTCTGAGTAGCATCAAGACAGCTTAATCTGCCCTGATTATTTGCAGTACTTAACCTTCATCATGTAGCCTAATACTGTGAGGAGAAACAAGTAACCAGAAACTTTTGTTTTTTGTTATTTAGTGTATTTACAGTGCACTTCACATTTACACACACCTGATGTCTTTTGACTTTTTACTTACATATATGAACAAAAAGTATATAGTTATATGCATAAACAAAGATGTTTAAACAAGAAATTGAATGACTCAGACTCTATATTAAGAAATATGGATATGTAAAGGTTACGAAAAAAATAAATCAAGTCCTAGATATTATTGGTGCAAAAAAAGATGTTCTAATGCGAATTACGCCTAGCGTCATTATAAAAGAGTCAAGCTCTGTAGCGTAGCATTTCAGTCTGGAAACTGCAGAGTGACTCTAAATAAAGGTTGCTACAATGACTCATTAGGTTACTCATTAGACACTAAGATTTTATAAGATGCTGTTGTTGAAATTGAAAGCAGTAGCATTACTGAGTCAGGAGAAAAGAAACAATAATTGTGTGCAAGTGCTGCAGCGTGTTACCCTGTAAAGCCTGAAAATAAACAGCTCAGTGTTTAGATCTTAAATCAAAATCAACGCTATACTGATGAAGATATGATGACAA